TTACTTAAAAAACATGTTTTGCAATTGTCTTTTAAACGCTTATAAAGTTGGGTCCTTTTCAATTATAAACCCCTTGCTTTGATGTCTTTTGTAAAGGTCACAGCAGCGTTTTATAAGTGTTTTGCTTACATTTGAACGCTTACAAAACGCTTATTTTTATATGTAAATGCTGGCTGGGAAATAATCAAATTAGACTTTTACCTAAGCCACAAAATATGAATATGTTATCAGCTTAACGAATAATACATAACCCATAGCATAATACGAAAACATGTTCATTAATGTTACGGATGGCCAATGCATTGCCCACACTCTAGTCACACTATAACAAGGAATAAAAGAGATTAAAAAAAAATAAAAGAAGTCTGCTCATCATCTCCCGCACCTCATTATGCGCACTAGACTTCTGCATGAATGTACCCAAATCTAGTTTAAGAGACCTGTACAGTAGTGTAGTGTTCTTAAAAATACTGCACTCATTCTTTGCTGTACAGTATACCTCTTGGGGCAGGAATAGGTAGAACAACATTTTTATTGTTCTCACTTGGAGTGAGAACAGTATATGGTTGTACTGTTCATGAGTGAGTACTACATTTGTCTTATTTTTAATACGCTGTACATTAAGCGAAAGCTTGGCTGTGCTATTATTCAACTGTGCAGATGAGTTCAGTATTATTCAACACGTCCACAAACATGGATGGTAAAGAAAACGACGTTCGTGCAATGAACGCACAAGAAAATGTAAGTTTTTGTTTCAATAAAATTTTGTATTACCATTATATTATATATTTTTGTGGGAGACCTTTTCCCAAGTAATTGATAAAAACGGCATAGAGACGGCTGATGCAGTAGTGTGCAACACTTGTAAAAATGTGTATAAATTTGACAAAAGCACATCTAATTTGGTCAAACACAAGTGCTACATAATGGCCAATTGCCGTAAACGCAGTCTTCCTGCCGATAATATTGATATTGAAACAAAAAAGAAATACATCAAACTAGCAACGGAGTGGATAGAAAAGAATGGCCGATCATTCAATATAATTGCGGATTTGGGATTAAAAAACTTGGCCCAGTTTTTTATTTCTCTTGGTGCGAAATTGGGAGAAAATGTAAATATTGAGTCAGTATTGCCGCATCCCACAAGTATATCGCGAAACATTGGTGCTCTCTACGATTTTCATTTTAATGAATTGAAATCAGAGATTCAAAAAAAATATGGATATAGTATCACTTCGGTTATATGGACGGACTTCTTCAAAGAATCCTACATATCACTGACGATGAATTAGGTCAAAGAAGGCACACTTAAAAACCGCCTGCTAGCAGTAAAATCAATGGGTAGATTCTCATGTACTGGTAAGAATTATAAACTGTTAGGCTGGACCCACACCGGGTTTGTCAAAACAGTTTTTCTTGTCTCATACGCAACTGCCCATAGCTTCATATGTGACTACCCACACCGAACAAGACGAAGCGAAAACGCATGTTCGTGCTTTGACTTGTTTGAAGAGCTGTTGTCGAACTTCTTATGTATTTTCATACAGCAACGCACACCGAATGCGACAAAACCGTCTTTGTTGCCGATCAACACATGCTGAGCTACGGCGCAACCCACACCGAATGGAACCAAATGGAATGGAACAAGACACGACAGAAAAACACGTTTCGTTGCTTATAGCTGAACCGTTGGTTTTCATAGTCAAAATTGCGCATTTTCTTTGTGCTTTGTGCTTATTGTGCACGCGAATTATTAAAATGAACATTGATGCGGASAAATTGGTGTTTTTGATTGAGGCAAGGAGCCCAATATATAATTATAAAAATAAAGAACATTTAAATAARTTAATAACAGAAAAACTATGGGACGAAATAGCWACAGAAATGAATAGTGACGGTAAGTTTAGTTTATTTTATTTATACCATTTGTACATACATACGTAATGTTGATAAGTATTTAAAAATATAGTGAAAATCAATTGTAGATATACAGTACAAAACTAAGCAAAATTAGATAGCGTACTTATTTTGCCAAGAAACTGATCCAGTGGTAGAGTTAAAATATGATAGAAACTGGTCACGTATGTAACGCGCACCATTTGATGGCCTTGTGTTTTCAATATTTTCATTTGTACCCTCTTGGACTAAATATTCCATAGCATCGAGTTCGTTATATATTTCATGAAGCAAATGTTCTCGTTCCCGAATCATATTATGTAAAGCACAAGCTGCTAATATAATAGTTTCCACTTTATTAGGCGACAACAGAATTTCTGTATGAAATATTCGAAACTTGTTTGCAAGCATACCAAATGCGCATTCCACTACTCGTCTTGCTCTTGATAAACGGTAATTATATATTCTTCGCTCATTTGTCAAGTTCCTTCGTGCAAAAGGTCTTAGAACATTCGTAAGAAGTGGATAGCCTTCATCGGCRACAAAAACAAAAGGTATGCATTCGCAGCTTTCTGGACATAGCTTTTGGTTATGTGRTAAATTCAATTGTTTTTGAATAAGTTTTTTTCCAAAATTAGAGTGTTTGAAAACACCACTATCGCAATTTCGTCCAAAGTCGCCAACATCAACACAAATGAACTGCCCATATGCATCAACTAMAGCTTGTAAATGTATTGAATGAAATTTTTTATAATTAAAATAATCTGATCCTGCTTTTGGAGGGCACTGTATTCTTATGTGTTTTCCATCTATAGCTCCTGCACAATTAGGAAAGTTCCACATTTTTTCAAACGCATCCGCTATAGAAAGCCATTTCGCAACATCGGGTTTTGGAAGGTAAATCGGTGATAATATTTCCCAGACAGCTTTGCAGGTTTCCATTACAATGTTTTCAATTGTAGAAGCCCCACATCGAAAAAAWTACGAAAGCGACTTAAATGATTCCCCAGTTGCCAAATACCTGAAATTATATTTTAATTAATTGAAATTTTTGTATACCCATCACAATTTAAAAATTCCAAATTTTACACTTATCTTGCAGTAGCAACATGCAAAAATAAATGGACAAATTTACGGAACTCATATTCGAGGTATTTGAGGGAAGAAAAAAACAAACCATCTGGATCGAGTGGTAAGCAGAAGCGGAAGTGGTACTTGGCTGATGCAATGTGTTTTTTAAAAGATTTTGTACATCAGCATCGTGAAATGAGCAGTAATTTACCTATAAATAGCCCTGATGTCGAAGAACAAACTACCGACATGTCGCAAACTGCTTTTACCGATGCAGTAAATACTGACGAAAGCAGTCCAACACCTGCGAAAAAGAGTAAAACATCTATATCTGAGAYGATAGCTGGACCAATGATTGAGTTCCTAAACTCCAAAACGAAGCAGAAAAAAGAAAATGGAAATGAATTATTTTTTAAAAGCTTGTTGTCTGATTTTGAAAAACTCTCCAGCAAAAGGCAAAGACTATTCAGAATGCATATGATAAATAAAATGAATCAATTTCAAGAAGRAGAGGAAAATGAATATTTAAGTACTTCAACGTCATGGGATGATATAATATAGTATATGAATACAAATAATTATTTGTGTAATTAATAATTTATATTTTCATATTGCTCATTGTAAAATTTTACCAAGGAAGGGATTTTGAATTAAAAATACACTGATTTTAAGTTTAAAAAGCTATTTGTTTTTACTTACCGTAGTGTTATAATTAATCTTTCCRCAGGAGTTATGCTTTTGCGGTAGTTCGTATTTTGYTTAAAAATTAAATGTTTTATTAAAGACAGCAAATATTCGAATGTTGACACCTGCATCCTTGTGAAGTTTCGAAATTTTCTTGGATGCATTCTCAGTTCAGAAATCAAATTTGTAATAACATTTTCTGAATCGCGCTTCTGATTGTACGGATGCACCCACCATTCTCTTTTATTTCTTTCACTTCGTTCACAAAACTCAATTATTGAAAATAGGACTGGCACAWTTTCATCGTCCGAATCCGACGACATCTTTGCAAGAACTGATTCGTTTTCTTCTTTTTTCGTTTTATTTCAATGCACACCAAGCGAGACAAAAAGACAAAATGTCGCATTGTGCTTCGCTTGGTGTGGGTTAGAGCACAAGATGTTTTTGTGTTTTATTAGTCAAAGACGTTTTTGACTAATCCGGTGTGGGCTCAGTCTAAAAGTATACCAGCGGCAAATGYAACAGGCAGTGAGGCAGTGCAACGGTTTTCAACACAAAGGGTTGAAGGCGAACGAGAGCGTCGAAAAAGAGAAGTTGATGCAATTGAAATAAATTACGAATGGTAAAAAGGAGTAGGAAAACAGACGCCAGCAAGAACGGACGTGTTTAGGAAAAGCAAAATGGTKTTGATAAAAATTAAAAATTTGAAAGTCGAACAGCTAAACCGGGTGCTAAAAAGTCAAAACKTTAMTGTGGTCGGCAATAAGGCGCTAAAGGTAGCAAAAGTCAGCGAAATATATGGCGCAGATGAGATCGATTCGGAAGAGCTTGAAGTTGGAGGCGATGGAGACAACGGTCAACAACAGATGGATGAATTGCGCAACGCTATTCTGGAATTAACGAAAACTGTCGGTGAACTCACATCATCGCGCAGAAGTGATGAAGGTACAGTTACRGYTGAGGGTCCGCAAATGACGTCAACGCCAGCACATATGAACGAGGTGGTCACAACGGCACAAAGGCCAAGGGTGGCAGGACAAGGAAAGGCTAGCGGTTTGCAGGAAATTTGTGGGTTGATGCCAGAGTACGACCCATTAAAGGGCACGTTAAGCAGTGCAGTGTTCATAGAGAAGACKGTACAGTTGCGTAGCGCATATGAATTGACGGAGCAGGAAATATTGGTAGCAGCACAATCAAAGCTAAGAGGGGTCGCAAAAGAATGGCTAGACGCCCAACAAGTATTCCAAACGTGGGCTGAATTTTTTGCAGCCTTTGAACGAGATTTCCCAGCTACAATGATATCAGCACAGGTGCACCGTGAGATGGCACAACGGAAGCGG